ATTATTGAAAATTATTAGAATATTTTGGAAATTTTAGGAAAATTTATTACATTTGATAGATTTTGGAAAAYCATTGAAAAATTATGTAATTTTCATTGCAAATTATTGAAAATTATTAAAGACAAATGACTATGGGAAATGAAAAACTATAATTTGAACAAATAATTACACTGATTATGAAGATAAATTAGTATAATATTGGAAAAAGGAAATTATTGGTTAGTTTATATTATAAATTATAAGATAAATTAGTATAATTCTGTAATTGAACCATTTAAAAAGAAAATAAATTATTTAAATAAAAATTTAAATAAATTTGAATAAATTTTCAAAATTACACAAGTACAATAAATTTTCCAAAAATTTCATAAAATTACATTTTTGAATATTAAAGACAATTTAGTGTACATTTATAAATTTATCATGTGGTTGATACTCAATATATCCTTTTGATCATTTCTATCATCAAATTGAATATTGGGTTGACGGGGATAGTGTATTCAAAACTGGATCAAACTAGATGGTTAGACCAAAAAATTGGGAATCGGACACCATTTCTCCTCAAAACCTTTTTCTGTCCAAAAACCATTTATTTGGTTAGTGAACCGCTGACCTGGGCGGTCAAACCGTCAACCCGGACAATAGTTTTTGGCCTTTTTTGTTTTTCTAATTTTTTATTTTTTTGTCAAAACAGGTCATCCATTTGACAAACAAACCATTCGACCCCAGAACGGTTCCCTATCTAGTCCAATTTTAAAAACCTTGGACGGGGAGTAGGTGCCTTGCCTTGAGATTGTCTTGGTGTACGGCATGGCCCGGCCCAATGCCTGGTCCATGGACCAGCCCGACCCATGGCATGGCACGGGTCCGTACGGGCTTGAGCCGTGGGCCATGCCGAACTGACCCCCCAAATTATCCTAGAGGAGGGAGGCACGGCCCGGGACGCCTTGTGGGCCAACACAGCATGACTCGCACTTTGTGTGGGCCACATGCGAGTCATGTCGTGCCGATCCAGCACGACCCAATTTACACCTCTACTTGAACCTGCCCAATACTGGGGACGGGGCAGGAAAATTCGAGGATTCTTCATCCTTGATGAGGAGTGGGGTGCCTTTACCCCTGAACTCGCTCGACATTGAGGAGTGGTTACCTTGCCCTAAACCCGCGTGACACTAGGGACGGGGCAGGGATGGGATACTCTGCCCTGAATCCACTCCGTTGTCATTCATATATAATTGTTAATTATTAGTGGAATTAATAAAAATATTAACTTTTATATTTATTTTTATTTATTTTAAAAGTAATCAAAATTTCATTTAAAAATAATAAAAAAAAATAAAAATTATTAAAATTACTACAAATTATTAATAAAATTAAATTTATTAAAAAAAATTATTTGTATTCAATTAACAATTATTATTTTTCTTAAATCAATAATTGTAGGTCCAGGTCCAGAATTGCCAAGCCGGGCTGAAAGCTCTGTTAGTATTCGTTTAAGAACCGAGGTTGAAGCTTTAAGAGAGAGAGAGAAATGATCATCTGAAAGACTGAGTACAAACTACAGAGTACCTCACTAATTCAATACATTCACAGCCTCAAGATCCCAAGTCTACGCAAGAGGCAGAGCTCAAGCCAATCTTGAATCCAACAAAATGCAGCTTATGCAAGCGGGTCTGCGCTCGAGAGTCGTTTTGTTTTATGTCAACATTGTCAACTACTTGTTTAGATCGAGCTGGCCGAGTATTTGAATTGACCAATTAAAAGGGAAGTCTGATATAATGCCACGTGGCACTCGTCCGTTAGATCATGAGAAAAAACTAGTTGGAACCAACAGCCTATACTACAGAGAGAATTTCTGGGAATGTAAACTTACCATGCGAATGGATAAATTAGTAATCATACATTATTTTATTTTTACTAAAAAGGAAAATATGGGCGTAAAAAGGTGAAGTGCCCAGAACGTGCAGCCTATACTATTAACAAGGCCATACCCCACTTTTTGTAATTCTAAAATTGATTTTTTTAACTTATCATTCCCAATCAATCAAGGCCGACTTGCCGAGTATTTACTATTTAGTGGGTCGGCCTGAGAATCTGAGATCATCACCATGACAACCTGGCCGATCGGATGGTTTGACACCCTCTACACAATTAACACGATTACGAAAGTTTCTCAATGTATTATCACCAATGTCACATGGCAATAAATAAAGGTCCTAACTCAACCGAGTTCTTAAAAAGAATATATCGATATAAGTTCCTTAAGGCTCCGTTTGTTTGCAGTGCAATTTCATTTGCACTAGTACAAATACACGAGTGCAAATAAGAAAGAGTGCAATTCTGGTTCACTTCTGTTTTGGGTTTTAGTCGTTTTACAAATGCAAACAAAATAAAATGCAAAGAAAGTTGAAACAAAAACAAAAAATCATTTACACTCCCATGCTTTTGCGTCCCTGCAAATGAGATTGCAATGCAAACAAACCAGGCCTAAATTAACATTACCAAAGCAGAAATATCCGGCTGCATAAAGTGGAAGATACATACTGATCAAAACAAAGTGAAGGATTCACAGTTTTCTTCATGTTTTCGTGAAATAATTTGAAAAGACCTTTTTAACGCAAGATTTTGGTGTCAAACAAAATTCCAATATAATGTTTTCACATAACATGATCAAGAAAAGGCCCTACACTAGGCAATTAACTCACTCATCTGCTGATACTGCTGAATGAGTTGGGTATCTCCAAAGCACATCGGCCCATGTACTCTGTCCATCAGTCACTTCTTTAACAACAGAAGCCACCTCCTCAACACTAACACGGATTTGATCTTTGCTGTCCCTCTCACGTATTGTTACAGATGATGTTGAATCAACAGTGATAGCAAAGGGTACACCAAGCTCATCTGTTCTTGCATATCGTTTGCCAATAGATGTACCTTTTACACAAATAAATAACATAAATAAATGCAAGCATTTATAACAATAACATAGCATGACAAATATACCATGTTGGTGAGTATTCTAAACCTTTACTAGATTTTTTCTCGAACCCAATCAAATCACTGCCCACCCAAAATGTAATAGACAACTTTCCTTTGCGTTTGGAAGTGTTTATATTAAGTGCTTATTGGGTTCATTGCTTATTAGAAACCAATAGCACACAAAAAAACCCTAATCGGTGTTTGGTAAAAAAACCAAAAAAAGCATTTTTTTCACCTAAAAAAAGTTTGTTTAAAAAGCCAAACGTTTTGGGCTTTTGGCATATTATGTTTTGGAGAAGCCCTTTTAAAAGAAAAGGCCCATTAGAACATCATGCCAAACACTCAAATGTGCTTATAGAAATAAGCACTTTACTAAAGACACGCTTGTTTAAAAGCCCAAACGTTATCAAGAATAATATCCATGCAATTCAACCTTTGAAAGCATAAACTAAGCATGTGTCCACCAATTCTTARTCCACAAATGTGAAGTACATAAAATATGTGATGCACATGATAACTACTTATTTTAGTCACATACCTGTAATGTCAATCTTATGTGAGATTCCTGCTGCAGTCAATGATTTGGAGATGAGTCTAGCAACTTCTTCATATTGCTGATTCTGAACCAAAGGGAAGACAGTGCATTTGATGGGTGCTACAAGAGGTGGGAAGCGGAATACATTCAGCTGCTCGTCTCCAGCTTTACTTGGCCTTGTGTAGAAGGAATGCTCGAAGAGACAGTAGATTATTCGCCCAATACCAAAAGATGGCTCAATCACCGAAGGTGTGAAAACCCTCTGATGTTCCTTCTTTTTCTCCTTAGAAATCATTACCATGTTTTTCTTAATAATAACGGATTTTCCAAGAGTGCAGACATGGAATTCTGATTCTCCTTTAGATTCCAGAGTAGCCTTCATTTCCATAGCTTCTTTTTCATCCATAGACTGCACAAAAAACAACACAGTACATGCAGGCAAAAGATATAGAACAGTTCCAAGTTTCTATAAGTAAAAGATTTCCACATCCTTGGTTACCTCCAAAGCTTCAACTACATTCTTTTGGGCTCCTTTAAATGCAAGACCCARCTCCTTTTTGACTGGGGCTATAACYAKTTTCTGGAATAATATTCCAACAAAAATGTTTAATGTTAGTAGAACTATAATGGCCAAGGAGTGGGGTGGATGTGGGTTTTAGGTTATGTGCATGTGTGTGTGTGTGTGTGTGTTTGATAAATATGTATGTATATTACAGAGAGAGAGAGAGAGAGAGAGAGAGGAAAAGAGAGAACCTCCACTTCTCTAGGTTCCTGAAACTTCTCATGTGCTACAAGAGGAACCCCACTTTTTTCCTGTTAAACAAAAAACACACAAACACTTCCATTGGTAACAGATTATCTTTCCAAATCTTGATAAATTTGGTAATATAGAAAAGCAGATACAGGTGCATTAACATCATGTCTTCAATTATGCCGTATGGCAAATTAATATTTTAAAAGGTGTGTGAAGTTTACTCCTTGGGGCAAGGCTTGGGGGAACACCCCATGCATGGTAAGCCACATACCTCACATCCTCAGGTGTCTTATGCCAATGTGTTTCATATATGAATTGAGGCAGAGGTTCTCATCACAATACTGATTTAAAGATCAATACCAAGTTTTCATGCGAGTTGATTCTTTTAACTCTACAGGGATTTTAACCACTAATTGTGGTTTTAATTTACAATAACAGCTTTAATATAGTTTTGAAGAATATCCAAGCATGTAGTTTTTTTTTCTTGGATTGTTAACAAGATCTAAAAAAACATTAAGAAAACAGTTAGAGCAGAAAAGTGCAAGGAACTAGTTTGAAGTCCACTAGCACAAAACAGCTTGCCATGAGCCCCCAAACAACAAACTGGAAACTGAGTCTTGTCGCATCCAATGGCCTAATCCATAGCCCCCGCCCCCAAGCCCAATCTACATCTCATAACACTTTAAGCTAAGGGTCCATTTGGTTCAGACGGGAATCAGAATCAGAATTGGAATAAGCTGGAATGAGATCTCATTCCCAAGGGAGGGGGAGTGAATGGCCATTCCCTCAAATGGGGGAATGCCATTCCACCAGGAATGGGAATGTGATTCTGATTCTGCCCAAACAGATGGAATCGGAATGGGCCATTTCGATTCAGATTTGAGACCCCTATTCCCACAAGACAGGCCCTAGGAGTCTTCTTAAACAAACAGCCTCCCAAAGCCTAAAGCACATAGGTTTTTTTCTTTATTTCCTTAAGCTTTTAGTAATTGATTACATTATGATTTTCATATGCACTCTTGTATAAAATGTCCTATGCACATGGTTATATATTTGTTCTTATAAAGTTTACAACTCATGCTCTTGGAAGGTTCTAGCATCCTTACTCCTCTGCCTTCTAAAACATTGCATAAGCATTACTTTTTTTTTTTGAGAAAAACATTACTGATATTGCATCATATAAATCTCTCTCTAAAACTAGACAAAATAACATTTGAATCAGACTTCACACAAATCCCTGACAATTAAAATACTCTAAATGACAATAAATAAGAGCCAAGACAACCATTTTAGTTATAAACATATCTGATGAAAGAATTCTGCAGCCACAGAACCACATTTCATTGGACAGGAAAAAAAAAGTTTTATATTAAAATCACTTGAACATTTTTCTAGATCACTTCTATTTTCTGCCACATGGAGGAATTGATAACAACTTTCATTCAAAAGAAAAGGGAAGGAAYGATATGAGAAGATGCTATAATGTAGGGGCACCTAAGCTGAAAATAGGGTGATGTAGTAAACATATGTGATGCAATGGCTAGGACTGAGAAAAGGGAAGCAACAATCACGTTTTTCTCCAGGCCTGCATAGAACTTATGGACCTTTAGAAGTGCTTCATTATGGGCCAGTTATCAGATTCAAACAAGCCCGTGAAAAATAAGCCTTGAGCTTTGGGCATACAACCACCATGAGTAGTGATGGACTCACCCGATAAAGATTTCTTACATTTAATAAGAAATTCTAAAAAAATATATATGGATTTTCTTACCTATTTCTTCCCAGTCATCATCTACAGATTTTAATTGTTACCAAGTTTGGAGATCTCAGGAAAACATTTGGAGATGTTAGAAGATCTTAGAAAATGTTTTGTTTCTCTTTAGTTTTAGAAAACAATATTTTTATGTAACAAGTAAATGTTCCACCTTATGAGTTTTATAAATATGGCAAAAACTTTTAGAGGAGATTATACAGAATTTATGAGCAGTTTTGCTTCTTTTGTTTGGTTTAGAACTGCAAATTCCAGAATCCAGATATTCTTGAAGTTGCAAAATCCATCAAACTATTAGGTGCTGACTCCCAGAGAAGCCTAAGTGCCAACCCCTAGGTTATTCTGCCTTTTTTTATTTTCTTTTCTTATGTTTATGAGTTTTTTTTCTTTTTTATTTGAATTTTTCTTATTCTATAGATCTATTTAATATTGATATGGCATTGCCCCTACAAATAACACCTGCATTTCATCATTCGAGTCTTGTATCAGCATTAAGCCAAAGCATAAGGCCAGCTAAGCTGCCATGTATAAGACTCCTGATCAGAGTGGATCCTTTTGCTTAATGGTTCATCAAGCAAACCCATCCCTATCTAGTTGATTCATGTACATTTATAACCTTCGCAAAATAAGTGAAAGATTCAATATCTCTAAGAAAAAAGTTTTAGCCAAATTCAACCATCAAAAGGAGAAATGTGGTTAAACTCTTACAGAGTGAGCTTTTAAATCATAAGCAGATCTATCAGCAATGCCAACACATTCAATCCAGCCATAGGAGCATTCAATCTCTGCATCCCAACAGTCTGCAGCATAGTGAGCCATCTCATTTGCGAGATGCTGCCGGAAACGCAAGCGCTCTTTATCAATCCCAAGGTGTGTCAGGAATAGGTACACCCTCCCAATGAAATAGCCAAGGGTTTTATTATTAACAATTCCCTGACCCAGAGGGGAATAGAAGAAAAAACAGTGAGCCCATAGAACAATCTTAATCTTAATGTGAAAAGAGGGAAAAAAAAAACATGAAAATTAAAACAAGATACAAGCCAAACCAACCCTAGAAACTGCTTCACCAATACACATTCTCTTTGCTGATTGGCCAGACATCTGCTCTTCTCTTGGGAACATCAAGAACTCCAAGTTTACAACCTCATTGTATTTTGGGTGAGACTTGTCATCGGGATCTACAAAGTGCTCGATCTCAGCTAATGTGAACTCACGGACCCTTAGAAGGCCTTGGCGAGGAGATATCTGGAATTATGAGAAATTGCTGTCAGATTTGGAGCTTAGCAATGACTTAAACAACTATGCATGTTGCAAAAAAGTACACATACATCCTGGAAAAAACAAAATGGGGTGCATACGAGATTTGGTAAGTTTTCACCAGCTAAGTCCTTTGGGTACACCCCATGCTCATGCATTTGCTTTCTTCTAATGGTTTAAAGAAATGATATCACCAAGGATTTAACACAACAAAAAGAAAGAAGAGAATGAGGCAGGTAAAGAGAACCTCCATCCTTCTCTCTACCTATCTCCTATATTAATAAGATCTTCGATTTATAGCCAGAAAGCCATAATCATAAATTCTTTTACAAGAGAGTAATAATCCAAGAAGTAATAGATGAGAAACCCCAACCAGATATCCTAACAACCAATTGCAAGAGCTCATCATATCAGCAGTCCAATCATCAGGAATCAATTGGTAATTTGGTAGGAAAGCAGGCACCATTAACATGGTAAAACTACAATAGCTTTGTATTATTAAATGAAGAATTTGTGACCTCGTTTCTAAAAGCCTGGCCAATCTGAGCTGCTGCAAATGGGAGCTTGTTCCCGTTATAATAGTACAAGTCCTTGAAGTTCACAAAGATGCCTTGTGCTGTCTCTGGGCGCATATACCTGCATCAGATGAAACATATGAGATGCTGATAATGCAGGTAAAAAGGAAAGCAATATTCAATATTCACATAGGAAGCAATGGGATACTAATAACAAATTCCTACACATGTAAATATACGAACATACAACAAATTTCTCACCCAGGGCTCAAGCCAGATGGACCTATAGATGTCTGAAACATCAAGTTGAATGGGTAAGGATTGGACAGAGGGTTTTTGGTATCTGGAGCAGTAATACCATACTCCTTAATCTTAGCACCCAGCTCTTCAGCAGAAAGATCATCCAAAACAGCAATAACATGTTTCAGCTCTGCTGCCTTATCTGCAGAAATACTGAGATCCTTCTCAAGCTTCTCCTTGCAAAAATCCTTGAGCAAGTGATCAGCACGGTAACAAGTTCCTGTCTTTTCATCCTTAACCATAAGGTCAGTGAACTTGTCCACATGACCTGATGCTTTCAGCACAATTTCTGGTGTAACACATGGACAATCCACTTCCAACATGTTCTCTTCTAAGACAAAATGCTGAATGAACAAGCAAAATACATCTGTAGATTAACGACTAGTATTCACGCAAGAACCATAACAAAAATTTCTTAGTCAAATGAAACCCCAGCAGAAAACTGGAGTCTTACAGACACTGGAGTCTTACAGACACTGGAGATGCTTAATATGTTCTCTGAAGGAGAAATCAATTGAGGAAAAAAAATCCTACCTTTTTACATGTACCAATCTTTTTCTCTTTTTGCAAGTTTCAACCTTGAGAATGTCAAGGAGCCATTGACTGAAGATCATGTTTCTCTCTTATAAAAATCATGAGTTACTCTTTCAAAACCCCTAAAACAGTCATATTTCCTTCTCTTTTAGTTATTTATTTTTCTTCCCTTTTCTTCAAACATCAACCTCAAGAATGATAGGGTGATTAAACCATCTTTCATTCTTGCACTAATGAGGTATGTACAAAAACACATTCTGATTTATGACTCATAAAGACTAAACTGTATCGTGCATAAATTGTTTATTATGGCTCTATTTACAATTATGTAATTATTATAAATTGCATAACATATGTGAAGTGACTTCCCTAGTTAGTTTATGAAAAAATGACACCCTGAGTCTACTTCATGCCTCCTAAGTTGACTCCACCTGTTGGTCGAAGTCAAATTAAAATAAAAATAAGAAGTTTAAGTCATTAAGCAATGATCAGAAGCCAACCTAGTTTTAAACACCCTCTAGGAGTAACAGACTAACAGTCATATAGGGCCATACAGTCATCATGATGCCAAAAGATATTAATTTCATTTTCCAAAAATTTGGCTAAGTGCCAGACTGACAGCGTTTTTAACCAGTTTGTCTAAGTGCCAGTGTTAGTATAAATAGCTTTTCTATAAAGGTGGAAAACAACAATTTCATCAAATTAAATAAACAGCAGCACCTACATCTAAAGCATTAAATCGTTCTCCTTATGTGATGGATGGGACCTGAAAAACTTTCTTGAAGCCCAAAAACCTATAATGATGTTTGTAAGTCTGCAGAAGATGATGGAGTTGCAGTTCGTTTGTAAATTCAATAGCCTGCTACTCATTTTTATTAATCCTATTGCTAAAATTCTTGACAATAATCAATCAAGGCATTAATACTGATTACTGAGAAGGCTATGTAATAATCAAAAAAATACCAAGAGGGATGTTTTGTTTATCCTTAAATTTTTAACCGTTTGGAGAACGTACCAGCCACAGTTCAGTAGACGATCAAGTTTATGCATGCCGTCTTTTGATCAAATATTGGATTTATTACTATTAAAACCAAAAGTTGGTAAGTGAAAAGTATCTGCTTCCTATTTGCCATACTACTTCTTCGTCACACACTCACACTTCACTTGGCACAAATGCGTCAATAAGTAAACTGTGATTTCTAACAGATCAGATAAACGGCCTTCCCATGCTAGGGACAGGGTGAGTCCATTTAAACTGAAGTTAACGATTAATTTCAATACTAAAAACAAAATATAATAAGCAGATGCCTCATTAATTCCTTGTCTAATTGGGAAAATCTAAAACTACTAAAACCTCTTAAGCTAGACACGGTTCATGAGCGTGTGTGCTAACTCAACAACACTCTTCTGACAGCGAATTCGAAAGAAATAACCTGTATAATTTATCTTTTAAAAAATACAAAAAAAAAAAAACACTTACTATCCCGATCATTACATCCGAGCCGAATAACGTGATACCGGGAAGAGAGAGAGAGAGAGAGAGAGAAATTGAACTACAGAAAACGCAATTGGAGAAGGGGAAAACAACCAAATACATCAGAACAGAATCTTGAGCTTACCTGCCGCCAGAAGGCTAAGACGTTGGACTTAACAGCACAACCAGGTGGGCCATAATCATAGAGACCAGCAACACCACGATAGATCTTGAAGGAGGGGATGTAGAACAAGCGCCGCTCCAGTGTGTTAACGACGGCTTGACGGAAAGCATCCCTATTAACAGTGTTTATGTTGCCGTCATTACTAACAATGGCCTTGAGTTGCCTCTCAGTCGAGGCCTTCTCCAGCTTCAATGCAGTTAGGGCTTCAACAGCAGCGTCAATTTCCACCTTTGCAGCACCAGCAGCCTTCAGATCTCTAACGGCGTTGCCTTGGGCATCAATGGCTGCTTGCTTGTCAGCGAGAGCTCTCCGTAGGGCTTCTTCAGAGGCACCCATGGACAAAGGATTCCCTATGCCGGCGTGGGCCTCCGTCCACTGGGGCAGAGCGAGGGAGATGAGGAATTGATGCGCCACACACTTTGGAAGACATCAATCCACACCACGTCACACTCGGTTAATGTGGACAGGACTACAGCTATAGTGTTTGTTCAATAGTATAGTGTGCATCACACTTTTTGATATATACAGTTGATTATAAATATGTAATTTTTGTATTTTGTATGATAAATATTTAAAAAAATGTATGAATGAATTAATGTTAACTAAAAAATATTAAATTTTTATAAAATAATAGTAAAATAATTAAAAATATTTTATTGATAAAAATATTAAAATATAAAAATTAAAGAATTAAGTAAGACAAATAATATTTTATTAACAAAAATATTAAAAATAATATTTAAGCAATTGATATGAGAAACATTTTGCAAGATAAGCAGAGCATCTAACGATTTATGCAAATTAATAATTCACTTATTCCCATACTAGTTGTAAAGCAAGTATAATATCAAAATATTGTTCAATTTGTTTCCTACAATGGTGCATGGATAAACCACCACACTTACAACTACTACTTAAATAAAAATAAAATGACCACCATTATAAGAGAGATAAGAAGAAGAGTGCAAATTATGTTGCACCAACAACATGCAAACAGCATAATATCCAACTTGTGAAATTTGGTATGCCTTCATACTATGTGCTGATGATGTGTCGTATAAGCTCTGTATGGGGCTATCTGAGCATCATGTTCAATCAATTCATCTATCCACCGAAATGAATTTGGATGGTTCTCCCATTTTGGGCAACGAAAAAAACACCATCCATAATTGACATTGGTTTTTGCCGTGACTAATTCCATCGGTCCCTTACCACATGAGCACATTGGGGTGCACATATGTCCGGCCATCACTGTACCAATTTATCAATATAAATACATTAATGAGATAGGATTACTTCACACAAATAAAGAAATCAAATCAAACATACCACAAGTAAGTTCAAAATTTTCCAAACATATCCAATATGTTAATCATATAATCTGAAACTTGAATTGAAACTAAAATTTGAATGGTTCAATTTCGTGTTGCGCCCACACCATATTTGCTATATTGTCCCTAATATTGTTTATTTGTATATTTGATTGTTCATCCTCCTCATCAGTATCACTCTCATTGGTGTTGTTTGAATCCTCACTAATAATGTCTTCGACTACCATCGATCGATGTCTTTGTCGTTAATGGCTTCCTGCTTTATTAAATTGTAGGTGATGAAGCATGCCATTACGATGTATCGTTGCATTCGTAAGTCGAAACATGGCATATTCTGCAGGATATGAACTTTCCCTTCAGTATCCCAAAACACCTCTCTATAACATTTCTTAGTGATGAGTGCCTGTAATTAAATAATTCCTTATTTGGTCGAAATCTTCTTATTTGCCCTCTATAGTCATTTAGATGATGTCGTTCATCGGAATAAGGTGTTAAATATCCAGGCCCACCAATAAATCCATAATCAACAAGATAATATTTCCCCACAAAATCCATATGCAATCGAATGCATTAGACATGGGTAAATAGACATATAGTAAATATTAAAATAAATTACCTGTATGAGGATGTGGGAATTCTAAATGTGGCTGAGAAATAGCTTATACAAATACCCTAGAATCATGGGCAGATCCTTCCCAATCCACATAAACGAAGGTAAATTTTATGTCAAACGAGCATACTACCAAAACATTTGTAGTGCAACGCGACTTCCTCCCCCTATATGGAATTTGCTCGTCCAAAAGAACCTACGCACTTATATGAGTACCATCAGTTGCCCCAATACAGTCTTAAGTGGTAACATATGTGGTCAATATATAATTAATATATGACATATATAAAAATATAAGACACCAATGGAATACCTGAAACCACGGGTAATATTTCTCTAGATGTATGATATGTGGTTGCACAACTTCAAATGATGGTGGTTGAATCAACTCCCTCCTAAGCCTACAAATTGTTTTGCAAATCCTCCTAAAGTGAGTACTGATAGTACTTTTTGAGTGTTTGAACCTACTTGCAATCAACCGATATATTTCATTGTGACCAACCGTTATAAGAAAAATAGCAAGTGATTCCTCCACTATGATATTTTGATTGTTGGATAAAAGGTTACGGTCTCTCAGGAGATTAGCAAAATTTTTAAATGCATATCTCTCCATCCTAAATGTGTCACACACTCTGTCAGGATGCTCTAAGTCATCTAAACACTCAATGACAAATGCATGTCCACCCATCTTTGATGTGCAATACGGTTGTTTAACAAAGTACGTATTGTAATATCGTACCACTCCACTAACAAATGTAAGTTCAAAGAACTCCTCATCATCTTCGTCCCATTCATTGAAAGGGATGTCGTCTATTTCATTGATATCCATATAATTCCTATGAACATACACACATTGCTATACTAATTAAGATGTGAAGTATGATGGAACATGATAAAACATAATGAACATATGAAAAAATGACATAAACTGTGTAAAACAAAAATTAGCATAACTGAATTGTCAAACATAATAAAAAAAAAACCATACTGATAAGATATCCAATAACTCAAAAAAGGTCAAACATAAGCAACAAACAAGTAACCCAAAGTTGTCCACTATCTAAAGATTCCTCAACCACTCAAGTTGACATTCAGATGTTGATGAGGGCGGATTTGGCCCTCCAGTGAAATTGTGACACCTGGCACTTCATGCAAACCAAGTGCAGCCTCTTGACAACTGGGCAGCTCGGCAGAGCTTGCCACTTACAGATAGCTCGGCATGGCTCGCCACAAGCAGCTCGGCAGAGCTCGCCACAAGCAACTCGGCATAGCTCGGGGAGCTCGGTATAGGCAGCTTGCCACAGGCAGCTGGCCACTCCGCAGGCATCCAGGCGTCTTACGAAGAGCTTGCCACTTAGGGTCAGCTCGGCACTTACAGGTAGCTCGGCATAGGCAGCTCACCACAGGCAGCCTGGCGTCTTACGAAGAGCTCGCCACTTATGGGTAGCTCGACACTTAGGGGCAGCTCAGCGTATCGCAGGAAGATCTCATGCCTGACAACCGTACCTGACAGATCCGGAGACCTGCACCCACGTCTCTCGCTAGGCGGCGTCGTGCCTGCCAGTCTTGAGAGTTGTCCCTTGACTGGCAGAGCTGTACTTTGCAGTAGCCGCCTGCACCCGCCACCTCAGCTCTGGCAGTAACGGCTGCGGCAGAGAGACAGAGGCGGTTACGCCTGACTTGACAGAGGCTGTTACGCCTGATTTGATAAGACACCACTATATAAGGACTCCGACCCCCAAAGACAAGGGAGAGATAATGAAAAAATGGAGGTAATCCCTGCTCTCTAGCTCTCTCATTTCTCTCCAAGCTCCCTACAACAGAATGCTAACTTAGGCATCGGAGAGTCCTCGCCGGGAAAAATACCCCCGGGTCCTCTGATTCAGTTCTCGCAGGCCCCTCAGCTCCTACCACCTACAAAGGAGAGGAGATCACCTCATGCAGAGGGCAGTCGGGTTGCGCTACACCAGGGAGCTCCACCATCCTCTCCTGGGAGCAAGTCAAATGGCGAGGCACTTAGCCAAAAAAAAAAAATTTGATACATCACAAAAAATTGGTACGCGACCATAAATGGTTACATCAGATGTAAATTTCATAAACATTTGTCTCCAATGCTCCTCCTTAAATATCTCAGTTGCTTTCAAAACTTGTTGGACACTAATAGCTCCGATCATCAAATACTCATTCACAACATCCATGCATTATGTTGCAAGTACATCTTTTTTACGTTGTTCCTTCTTCTCTTTGTTATTTTGTATCTCTCTCTCTATTTGAACCTCTACTAGTCTCAATCTAGCTTTGCTAAACTCTGCCCATGCATCCATTGCAGGCAACAAATCAATTCCTTGTTTGATCATTTTTCCTTTCCTAAGAGAGATGGGGAGTGAACTAGTCCTTGTAAGTCTATCATTTTGTTGGCTAGTATCAATTTCAGGATCAACAGGGGTCTCAGGCATAGATGCAACCAACGTATGAACATCAATAGGAGAGAAATTAATAAATGGATCTTGAGTCTGTGGGACATAATCATTCTCTTAATCTGACGATAATTCAACATTACCCATAGATGCATTTCCGGTAGCACTAGTTCCAGAGAAGATGATCTCCAACTCCTCCGCGTAGGGGCACCTTTTTTTCTTTATCTGCTTTGCCCACTTATACTTCTGCATGAAGTATAATAGTTTAGTGTTGGCATCGTCTTAATTAAAACCCCTCAAATAAACATAAATAAAAGGAATGTATAACATCCATACCACAATCAAATAGTCCCAAACATTATCGCTAGCAATTGGTTTTTTGTTACTGGATCTATTGTAACTCCTGTATGGTTGCATATTTGTTGGTAATTGCTGAATCTCCTCTTAAAGTGATGGAATTTGTTTTTGAACTGCTCACGGGTATATGCCCTGTTGTGCATGTTATTGAATTTCTCAACAATATATTTCCAACCTTCACTGTTAAATGTTGAGGTTGGTTTATTGTGAGCCTTCACCTAATCTACCATCAGTTCAATGAAGGTTCATTCTTCGGCCTCACTCCATGTGGCAGCCTCATTGGTCCTATCCTCATGCAATAATCCAGACTGGGAGGTCATATATGTCTGTAGAATATGATATAAATGGGTTATGTAAAACAATCAAACTCTAACAACACAAAGATGGAGTCAGGAAATGATTTGAAACCGTTAATGGGGGGGGGGTCCAATTATCATGGACAACTTATCAAACTTGAGATAGATGGATTTATAAAAAGGGGGATTCCAATATGTTTCTCTTTTATTTTATTTGACATGATCTGATGTTGAACTTGTTCAATATGTTTTTCTTTTATTTTGTTTCTAAAAAAGACTATAGATCTTTCATGACTGGAATAAGTGCAAAACATGAGGAAAAGAAAATCTCAAACCCAACTAATCCCACCCGAATCCAGCCTGATTAATGTTGTATGTAGTTCAAGCTGGGCTTGAATTGTCCTTTTTGGGATTTGACCTTAGGTAGAACCAAAGACAGGCCAAAGTTT